CTCTAATGAGAGCAGTCTCAGTACTATGATACGGTCTAAATCCTGACTGGAAATCCTCACAGATACAATTTTTCATTTTTTATAAAGTCAAGTCAAATCACCTTTATTTATGTAGCAATTTTAACAATACAGATTGTGTCAAAGCAGATTTACAGTATTAAATAGGAAAATAGTGTGTCAATAGTGCAGAAGGACAATAGTAAACACTCAATTTTCAGTTAAAGGCAGTTCATCATTGAATTCAGTGATGTCATCGTCCAGCTCAGTTCAGTTTAAATAGTATCTGTGCAATCAATTAATACATTAATACATCATGTACTGATTTTATGCACAAGTTTTAGTTAATAGAATCAAGCTGTCATATAAAATCATATTTATAACATTTAAAATGATTAAAATGATTTTATAAAAGACATCTGCGTTTTTAGTTTATGATTTGATTGAACTGAAATCGGAATTAGTATATAAGTGCGCAGGATTGGAGCCTCATACAAACCGTTCGGCACTTGAACATGTTGATGCAGATGTTATTTAATGTTCATGAAGCAGTTCTGCAGGGCTCTGGTGTGTTTCAGTCAGCGCTGTGTTTGTTCAGAGAGCGTGTTGCCGTGTACGGTGGATGTGCCCACCTGTGGAGACACCTGCGGGAAGAAACTGGAATGTGGTTTACACACCTGCTCAATGCGTTGCCACAGAGGAGCCTGTGAGACCTGCCGACAGGTACACACACACACGCACACACCAGACAGCTGTTACATACACAAACACACCAGACAGCTGTTACACACACACACAACAGACAGCTGTTACATACACATACACACCAGACAGCTGTTACACACACACACACACCAGACAGCTGTTACATACACACACACACACACATACATACCAGACAGCTTTTATACACACACACACACACACACACACACCCACCAGACAGCTGTTATACACACACACACACACCAGACAGCTGTTACATATACATACACACCAGACAGCTGTTATACACACACACACCAGACAGCTGTTACATACACAGACACAACACCAGGCAGCTGTTACACAGACACACACACACCCACCAGACAGCTGTTATACACACACACACCAGACAGCTGTTACATACACAGACACACACGCACACACACACACACACACACACACCAGACAGCTTTTATATACACATGTGTGTGTGTGTGTGTTTGTGTGTGCAGGAGGTAGAAAAGACGTGTCGATGTGGCCGCTACAGCAAACTCCTGCCCTGTCATAAGGAATATCTCTGTGAGTCCAAGTGCAACAAGACACGGGCCTGCAGCCGACACCAGTGCAAGAGAAAGGTTAGTCTAACACACACACACACTCACTCTCTCTCTCACACACACACACACACACACACATTCCATCATTTCACATTCCACACACAAGAGCGTCTCATTCACACCTCACATCCACTTGCAGCACTCAGTCACACACACCTGTGAGATTGTGTGTCACTGATAGGGTGTGTGTGTTTGCAGTGTTGTCCGGGGAACTGCCCTCCGTGTGACATGAGCTGCGGTCGAATGTTGGGCTGCAGGAACCATAAATGCCCGTCCGTCTGCCACCAAGGTGAACGCTGACACACACTCATGCATGAACACGTGTTCTGAAGTTAGAACACATCATGGCTGATTGGATATTTGCAAATCTTTAGACAGTGTTTTCAGATGATCAGGCGGGCTCTTTCTATCTCAAGTGGGCGCTTCTGGGCCAAAGTTAGAGTTTAGTAGTCATAACTTGTTTTCATGATGGATTTACACGAAAATACATTAAATATTGAAGACAACAGGTTAAAATAAAATTGAAATGAATATTTAATATAGTGCATATTTTTAGCAAAATGCTTCTCTTTAAAGTTATTTTTCTTGTTAATTGTAGTCATTGAATGGCTTTCCTGAGGTAAATGTGATGTTGAGCACAAACTGTTTTATTGACATCTTTCCAAGACATGATTGATTCCAGTGAGTTGTTCGGTTTCTTCTGATGTTCATTCATGTTTATTTGCTGCTGTAACTAGTAGTAAAGAGTAAGAGACGATCACTTCACTACAGTCATCTGTCACCACGCATTAAAAATGGAAAATGGTATTTGTGTGAATTTCATAATAAAAAGGGCAGAATTTATCAGTAGACGTTGTTTCATATTAAAGTAACAAAGCACTTAAGCTTGTTGTGATTTATCAGATGGGTGTTTTGTTCACATATGAACTGGGACAGCACAGATTGATTCTTGAAATGAGAATCGATTCAAATCGAGCAGTCGTTATTTTCTGCCCAGCTGTAGGAGTTAGCGTTCCTAATCTCACCATCTCTCGGCTCTTTTATTTTTCCGAATGCATCTCTCTCTCTCTCTCACATGACGTCTGGCCTGCGTCCGGCAGAGCGTTTCCTGTGTCCAGCGGGAGTGTTTCCTGTCCTCGGGGTAGACGGGAGCATTCATGTCACTCTCGTGTGGGAGTTTGATTGGCTCTTGTGTTTGTGTCACGATCACGCTGTGCCAGAAGCGCCTCTGTGTGCTGTTATCAGTGCAGTCAGAGTCCGGCTGGTCTGCATGAATGAGCTGACCTTTTCTCAGAGCAGGAGTGTGTGTGTGGGAAAGGTAACAGAGGATAGAGGTTATCACACGCTGATGAATTGTTCGCCGATGCCTCGCACTCTCCTTTGCTTGCTGTGTGCCGAATGCAAATGTGCGTCTGGAACAACAATGTTATCTGGCAAACGCCTGCTATCTTGGCTCTGATATCCAAATGTCAAGCGGCGAGTGTGTGCCCGGATTCAGATCAGCCGTTTCTGCTTGGTGAAGCCTAGTGGTGCAATGGATCACAAAAGTCACGGTTCGGATCACACTACGGATTTTGAGTCACAGATCGGATCATTTTTTTGAATCTGCAAAAGAAAAAAAAAGTTTGCTTTTCATTTATTACTGAAAGCTTACTTTAAGTACTTCTATACTACAGCAAAAACTACTAGCTTAACTAATAAAGTCAGGAATAAAACATGAACAATTACACAAATTAAAAGCATAGATGAATACAACATAAAGTTACAAATAAAGTCAGTAACAGTAGTATTCAGGTGCCGAATTGTAATAATTAAGTGTAAAATAACACAATAGTGCTCACAACATAAGTTAAAGGGGTCATATGACATTGCTAAAAAGAACATTATTTTGTGTAATGAAATGTTTATGCGGTTTAAGTTTCAAAAAACACATTATTTTCCACATACTGTACATTATTGTTTCTCCTCTATGCCCCGCCTTTCTGAAACGCGTCGATTGTTACAAAGCTCATCGGTCTGAAAAAGCGAGGTGTGCTCTGATTGGCCAGCTATCCAGTGCGTTGTGATTGGCCGAATACCTCAAGCATGAGACGGAAATGTTACGCCCCTCACCATACTGTGATGCCCTGTCCGGCCGGAGCGACGAGACAAAAACATGAAAACCCATTATAAAGGAGGCATTTGTTGCATCCAGTGGGGACATAATTATGGATTGTCCTTCGGATGAGACGTTAAACCGAGGTCCTGACTCTCTTTGGTCATTAAAAATCCCAGGATGTCTTTCGAAAAGAGTAGAGGTGTGACCTCGGCATCCTGGCCAAATTTGCCCATTGGCCTCTGATCATCATGGCCTCCTAACAATCCCCATATCTACTGATTGGCTTCATCACTCTGTCTCCTCTCCACCGATAAGCTGGTGTGTGGTGGGCGTTCTGGCACACTATGGCTGCCGTCGTATCATCCAGGTGGATGCTGCACACTGGTGGTGGATGAGGAGATACCCCCTGACAATGTAAAGCGCTTTG